AAATATTTCCTAAAACTATTTTTATAAACATTAATAATTTCTAAATAAGTATCTTACAAATAACTTATACGATAATAGTTAAAAATAATATTGTTACTTTTAAAAACAAAAACAATGTTTGATGTTTTAAACAACCACAGTAATAGAAATTAAAAAGTTAATCAAATGTAGTTTTTTAAAATGACAATTAAGCCTATATAGTTTTAATTGATTTAATATGATGATATAATTCAAAATAATTAATGTTTTATACTAAATTAGTATAAGAATATCAAAGCTAACTATGACATTTTTATATTTATACAATATATATTTTAAATTTATAATTGTATTATGCGCAAGGCGCACTAGTACAAAAAGCTTTTGTTGATGCGGTTAAAATAATTAATTGATGCGGTTATTGAACCGCACCAAAAAATATCGCCTCAAAAAATCCCCTTATTTAATAGTGCGGTTTTCAAACCGCCCTAAAAAACAAATTGTTTCTTCCATAAAAGCAAATTACAACCGCGTCATTAAATTAGAACCGCTCCTTTAAATACATAAAGAACCGCATCTTTAAATAAACAAATAACCCCACCTAAAAAGTACTGTAATCTATTGAAAGATCTAAAAGTTTTTTCAACCGTTGACAACACAAACCCCTTTAAAATAGAGTACAGAAACAAAACAAAAATCAACCCATGAATCTTAAAAGATATAATGTCATAATACATGCAGTGAGCGAGATTCAATGTATTTAACAAATAAGTTGCATTTAATTATAGAAAACAAAGAAAGATATAATTATTTGAGCTCTAACTCCTTGCAACTCTTGTAGTCTTGTTCCAATGGGGTTAATTTAATTTAGCTTGATTCTAGCTGCTGAACATTAAGCCTGTAAAATGAACACAAAACGATGCACAGAAATTCATGGAATTAATTTATATTATCAAGGTATAACAAACATTTGTGAAACGGAACCAAACCGGAACCGATTAGTGGTATTCGGTCAAGTTCCCGAATATCCCAATCCATCATTTTCGTTTTCGGTTCTGGTTCGATTCGGGCAGGTTTCAGAACGGTTTACATCCCTATGTCAAAACTATTATCTTTTTCATAAGACCAAAGGCAGAGAGATTGGACACAAACCGAAGGCAGTGAGCTTGGACACAAATTATTCTCCCAATCCTTTGTCTGTTCAAAAGATACAAATTGCCCTCCTCATCCTCATCAAAAGTAGTAAATCTGCAGCCAAAAGATTTTGTTGAATACAAGTTTGCAGAGCTATTATTGCTTATTTTCTAACTTTCTCATCATTTTATCTATTTTCAAATTGATATAGTGACTACACATCATACTATTAAATCATAAAAAAAGAACCATTTGCTAGATTTCCAGAACTTTGATTTCACTAGTGTTTGCAAATTACGTTTTAACTTTATAGATGATAAACGAATATAACCTAAGAAAGTAACTCAATTGCAAACCTTAAGGATTGAAACATCCATATGTTGTGACAGCTTCCATCTCTTTTGTCTTTTCTCCATTCATGGTGTTTTGACTTTTCTTCATTCATGGCGTGTTTAATTGAACCTCTGATTGTACAAAGACGAGAATTCTACCCACCTGTTGTCACAACATCTTGTGGCACCTTACATAAAAAGGGGAGCTGTTTTAGTGGAAAAAGGCATAAGGAGATCTAGAAGGCCAAAGCTAACAGAGGTTACCTGCTTGTTGTTGTTCGGGGATGCCTTAGGCATTTTAACAAACATGTAGAGTGCATTCTATAAACCCTAACACCCTATCTCATTTTTACCTGTTTCAATTTCTACCAACACTGATCAATTAGATCTTGCGAAGCAATCACATCTACACAATCATACACTACATACAGTACATATAATTGAAGGACAGAAAAGGAGGCTTTTATTACTTACCTTTCTTTGAAGCACTTAAACACAAGAATTTTAGACTTGATGAAAATTCATCGTTCGAAGGGGTTGTTGCGCCGGAGTGGAGGCTACCTTACCGCGCCTGTATAGAAATCGATGAGATCGCCGATGTAATACGCTGGAAAGAGAAGAAAGCCTACAGGGGAAGGGTCTTTGAGGCGTGTATATGACGAACAAAGGAGGAATTAGCGAAGAAACGAAAAATCAAAACATTTTACTATTTAAGAATAGAAAATCAGAAAAATCGACGCTAGGGTTTTCAGATTTTGTACCGGAGAAGGAGGAGGAAGTCGCTAGAAGCAGGAGGTCGTCAGGATCTGCTGTGTCTTTGCCGTCTGCCCTTTGGGTGAGAGATTAAGAACAAAATATTGAAAGGAAAGACATGGGCGGGGAATGAAAAAATTAGAAGGGGAAAATACCGCCATGAACAAAATATTAGGAGGGAACTGAATCTTTAATAATGCGCTTTTGAAGTAAACCGCACTAATAAATGGTTTTTAATGCATTTTTATAGAAACCGCATCAATAAATATATTTGATGGTGCGATTTTATAGTTTATTAATGTGAAAACAGTTTAATGATGCGGTTTTACGCTATCACCGCCTTAAAAAAATACATATCGCACTATTAAATAGGGTTTGTACTAGTGGCACGGGCGTTCGCTTAGTATATCTTATAAAGCTAGCATTTTTCTTTGAACCTCATGCATTTGAAACTCCCAAAACCATTTTTCCTTGAACCTCATGCATTTGAAACTCCCAATACTATTTAAATTATACAAATTAATTTATGATTAATTGAAATATTATGATTTGTAACTCTTAAAACTCTTCAAATCATGCTATTTAATTGATGAGTTAAATGAAATATTTAGTCTATATAAGAAATTTGTAGATTACATATTGCATGTATGTCAACACAAAATTATATATTATATTTGTAGGGTTTGAAGAGTTATGTGAGTGGTTCCATGGATGTAAGAAAGCAATTGCAACTCTTCCAAATATAAATTCAGGTAAACTCAAATTGGGTGTATGTAAAGTTTTAGATATTAACCAATGTTCAAATTTATGTATGTTTGTAAAGGTATACTTGAGATCATTTTTTAAATTTATGTGTTATACATCTTTCTATAATCACAGGATGATGAAGTGGGATTCATAATTACTTCTCATGAGCTTTTGGTAAATCAATCATCAAGCTATTTATCAGTTAGAGCAAAATAATTTTGTTAACATGTATGTATCTTTATGTTGTCTCTCTCTTTTTTATGTTAAGAAAATATATTTTATGTACAAGAGAACATTATTCAACATGTATTTTATGCTATGTGTATACTATGTAAGTTTGTATCGCTTATTTTGTTGTAAATAACATCGATTAAGTTTTTTATAATTGATTTTAATGAAAGGAGTTTACAATTATTATTCCAAATTGTTGGTGATAATGACGAATTAGAACG